CCCATGGGAGGCCTTCTACTCCACCTATTAATTTATTCATTTTCCACTGCAGAGGAGGCATTGAGGCCAATGTGATTGTTTCCGATTGCCAAAGTCCCTTGAGAGTAGCTTGGTTGTTTTCTTATCCAGTCATGTCTTCCCCCCCATTGTTTTCCCAAGTCCCTGTCCCCTGTTTTCTTTTTCCTACGTCAGTGTTGTGTATGTGTGTGATCTGTGGATGTAATCCCTGTGCTGCAGGCTAACTGATAGGTTGTGAATTTGATTTTATTAGTGTTTTTGTGTTGGTGAGTCAGTGTGGGAGAAGCAGCTCACACTTGTTCACATTCTACATTTTTGGTTAGTTTTTTTTTTTGAAGTGTAAATTCAGTCAGCACTTTAGAGGAACTGCTGTTGAATGACTAAGAAGTAGTTGGCTTCTTGTATTCTAACCAGTGAATGTGCTTTTATTGTATGGGTTTTCTATGTGCATTAGACCTACACATTGTCATCAGATGGCATTTCTATTAAGGAGGACGAAAGAAGAAAGAAACTACTAAATGATCTGAATGTTTCTGACAGATTGTTTTTAGCAGTCACACCTTCAAGAGTTGCAACACGTACAGGGAAAACTAGACAGATGCAGTCAGATAAGTTATCTAAAGTTATAATACACGTTTTATCTTTTTATGAAAAATGGGACCTGGTACATGTAAACACACGTGAACACCTTTAAATAATGATGCATTTTCTTACAGAGGGTCTTACAGAGAGCATGAATGATGAAGAGTGCAGCAAACGGAACTGGTGTGTTAGCATGAGCGAGTATGCATGTAAATAAGAACAATGCTGTGGAAAACAGACTTCTCACTGGGAGGACCACATGTAAAAAGTTTCTTTGACTTTATTAACCCTTTAAAGCCGGTCGGAGCGGGCACGCTTCGTTTTGCGTAACTATTTTTAAATCCCTGTAGAACCTTAACCGCGTAAGCTAGCGCAATAATTTTTTTTGCATATGAAACCGGAGGAGTTGTACTTACATCTTATGCCATCAGTTGTCGTGGTCACGGTTTCCTTCCACATATAGCTTTGCAACTATTGCATAAAAAGCGCTTGCAGGAACAAAAACATAATATTCCAGAAACACGCTTTGCCGATCCGATCAGCTGTTTGTAACACTTCCCACATTGAAACAGACATCGCATGTCCGCCATTACCTGCCCGAAACCGGATGACGAAATGTAGTTTTTTTTACTTGTAGGCCTTAAAAGCCTATACTGGTGTTTTTATAAGTCATGTTTGACTTTATGCTTTTGTGAATAGTTTCTGGGATGCTTAGAACTCAAATTGCACTTCATAAAATAGATTATTTTGATGCACATGCTGTTTTCTTTGCAAATTTGTATTACAGTATTTATTTTCGTTTTTCCTGTAGTATATAAAAATTGGTGTATCTCAAAAATAAAACTATGAAGACACTCAAAATAAATTTCCTGTTGTTGTAAACTATTTTTTGCAACTTTTTTGTATTTAAAGTTTTGAGGGATAAACCTCTTAAATTTCTCCAGGTAGAAATATATGTAAAAAAAAAACAAAAACGATTTTCAATTTTTTTGTAGTTTATTGCACTTTTTTGCTTTTTTTATGTAGTTACTATGGACTTAATGCATACATATTATTAAAATATGGGCTATAACAGTTGTATTGATGTATAGCAACTTGAAATGCTCCCAAAAATGGCACTACAGCATGTAAAAATATAAAGTAAGCTCTGGTGGCCTTGGCTCTATGGTAGGTCTTAAAGGGTTAAAGGGAGAAAATGATTCATTGGCTTGCTCTAGGCCTTTTTAAACAAGTGTTCTTAGCAAATTTATGCACATGCACAAGCACACAACAAAAACATGCTACATCTTTATTGCATTTTACTGAACAAGGCAGGCCGGAGCTCTGAGACAGTGCAGTGCTTCTGTCAGAGCGCTGCTGTTTCCATTCCATTCTCTCCCTCTCTCACTCTCTTCTTCTAAATGAAAGAACAAGTCTGTGTGTCCACCCTTCCTGCAGAAAGGTGGTCTAGTGCTTCAGACCAGAAGGATGTTGGCTTACTGTCTAATGCTGTTTTAATGGTACCTTGTGTGGTGGTTAGAGGGAGGCATGCAGCACCTAATAGAAATTATTCTGACTCTCCAGGATGTTATATAATGGTCTCATTCTTTGCAGGCAGACTAGTCAGATTTGATTAACCTGTGAGCGTGTGCGTGTTCATTCATATGCTGACTGGTCTGAGAGTGGATATTTGAGTCTGCGTCATGTTTCTGTTTAAAGAATTTTAAAAACCTGAACAAATATTGAGATTATTCATAATTGTCCTGATAAATATGAGCGTATGAGACTTATTCTTGTAAATACACAATTTCAGGTGTGAATGATATTTTTCAGTACTTTCGATTTACAGCAAGAAGGGTCCTGGTTTGAACTTGCATGTTCTCTCTGTCTGGCTTTCTCACAGTCCAAAGACATTATATTAGGGTAATTTGTGATTCTAAATTGGCCATAGGTATGAATGTGAGCGTGGGTGTAACCCACCCTTTGCCCAATGACAACTGGGACAGGCTCCAGCCCCCCTGTAACCCTAAATTGAATAAATGGTTAAGAAAATGGATGGTATTTTTGTTTTATTAAGAAAAAATGTTCCTTGTTGCCAGTTCCCAGTTCTCCAGGAGCATTTAATGTGAGTCTTTTTGTTGTCAGTTAAATAGAAGAGTGATGATTTCCATCCAAACTTTCCTGTAGCTCTCTCCCACCCTGAGTATTGGATCAATGGAGGTTTTTTTCTTTCATTGCCCATAACTCAAAAAGAAATCAGATGAAGTTTAAGTAATAAACAGTTTTAGGATTACTTAAAAAAAAAAAAAGTCAGTACTTAACAGCCACCGACTTCACATACATTCATGCTTCACAAGCTCATTTCCCAAATGAATGTTATCGCATATGCAAAATATTTTTTCAAATGTTGAAAGAAAAAGTGGTTGTAAGTCGATCACACCCAGCTCTCTGGGTTTTGTCAAAAGAAATTAGTGAAAACTCAGGAAATCAACAGCCTAAAGAAAACAAGTGGGTGGATGCTGGAAAATGTTTAAAAATATACATGTTTTTTTTTTTTTTTTAAAGGAAAATCAATTTGCAATGCACACTGTATGACAGGGTGCGAGTGGCCGTGATCTAAGATATGCTTGCGCGTGTGTGCCTACAATTGACAGCGTAACAGACTGCCACTATTTAACTGAGAAAAAAGGTCGTGCTTATCAGGACTCTGCAATAAAAATACACAATGTGGCCATTCTTCTATGGTGTGTATATGTGTGGGCATGCACGTGTGTGGTGATCCATTTTTTCCCACCATTTTTTTTCTGGACCCAATCAAGTGAATTTGAATGGATGCCTCATTAGAACAAGGCATGTCAGTGTAAGTTTGTCATCTTATTACATATTCCCAACATATGTGTCTTTTGAATGGATGTGAGCATTTTCCACGTGTGTCACTGGTCGCTCCCTCATCAGGCCCTCATTAACTACACAAGTGACCTTTGAGGAGCTGCTGATGGATGCCTTTGGGACTCAGCCAAGCTTTCCCTTGTCTCCTTTTCCACCTTCCCTCTGCGCCTTCCCCTGCTTTAACTTACGTCTTGATTAATGAAAGCTGCTCATCATTTTCTTTGAAGATACATTTTATCTACTGCACGTGTGCTGATTCACTTCTAAAGGAGAGGTCAACACTTTCCAACAAAGGCTTCCTCACTTCAGCTTCATGGCATTTAAACTTTTATCTCAGTCTTTAATCTGTTTTGATTAAGTTTCCAGTAAAGGAACTCTTGTCCAGCATATTTCTACCCAATATGCCTGTCCCCTCCTGTTTCTGTCATTCCACAGCCTAGAGACTGTGCTCTATCTCAACAATCACTTGGAAATAGGTCGCCACTCCACTGGCGTTTACGCTTGAAACAGCCTCCAAAACTCTCCACATTCCGGGAAATATGGGTGGAAGACAATAAACACTGTAAAGTGTCACAGTTGATCCGTTTTGCATTTTGGAGAACAAAGATTCCAAATCTTTTGTTTTTTTTGTAGTAAATTAGTAGTGTATGTGTCTGGAGTGTTCAAGCTATGTATGGTTTTGATAAAGTTGGTCAGTTTCAGCGCAGCCTGCTGTCTATCTGCATCACCCCTTCACTCTGTCAATAAATACTGGTGGCTTTGTTGCCCAGGCTTTGCTTAGAGCTGAGGGCCCAGTGTGGATCTGAAAGGTTTTGGAATAGAGGAGAGCAAAAATGAGATTTTACTTCTTTGTTTCCTTTTGCAAATAGAAATGAAGGTGTGTGGCAGCCTATGCGCACTTTCACGATCCTTATCCCCTGATGTTTTTGGAAAAGCTGCAGCTTATATTGGGTGTGTGTAACACTGCCTTTGGTAACCTAAAATAATCTCCAACCTGTTCCTCAAATGACCACTCGCCCCACAGGGAAGCCAGTCCACATCAGCTTCCATGTTTAAGTGTCCACCTTACCAGCGGAAGCAAACAATAAAACAAACTGTCAGTTTGTTACCGAAACTGTTTGGGTCTCAGTGGCTAATACCCCCATTCACAAAAACAAAACAGATTTGCTTATTTTTGACTCACTTGCTTTAAATGATGTAAAACTGAGATTGTGAATCAGTTGTACTAAGAGCTATACTAATAGCTCAGTCACACTATAGTAAAAATAGGATGAGAACCTATTGGTGGTTGCCCTGTTTTGTTTTTTGTTTTCACTTTCAGAGACCAATTCCAAAACCTAATACAAACTCTGGATGACCACTTTCAGTCACACCAGGAGGTTCTGGCTGGAATGTGAATTTAAATGATAAATAGACAGTGTGCTTTATGTCAAACACATCATAAGAGAATAGGATGGCCAAACCAACAAACAAAAATCACTGTTTTGGATTTACAGCCTACAGTGAACATTGAGAAACATCAGACCAAGACATTTTCAACTTGTCAACTTTATTTTATGCTTTGAAAGTTGGTGTGGTAGATTAAAAAATTTAAAAAGTGTAAATCAGAGTAGTTTCCTTTTCTATTCGTCCCATTTTATTGCAGCTAATTGGCCAGTGAGAAAAGTATCTGTTTAATATGAAAAATGTTAAAAAAATAAATGAAGTCGTAAAATACTGAGCATCCTCATTCAAGTGTGTTAGTTACTTACGCGCTTTTTTTTTTTTAAACCAGTCGAACATTTTATGCAGATGATAGTCTGAAAATAATCTTTTTAGGCATGAATATACACTTTGTGGTTTATTGGTAATAAATGTGAAACATGACATTTCAAGCAGGTGTTCTTTATAAAAATTTAAAATATATTTTATTCATTAACTTTTTCTGTAAAACAAAGATCTATTTCAGTAACAGAACTACTTACAGGTTAATAGGTTAGAAAAAAAAAATCTCTCATTGTTACATCAACAGTGTATTCAGGTGCTCTTTGTGTAGGATTTTTTGTTTTCATACCATAGATGTTTAACTGAAGCATTTAAAATAAAATAAAAAAGTACAAGAAAAGAAACATTTGAAGACTGATAGTGAAAAATACCGAGTACAAGAGACTTATGAATCCAACATTGTTGGTTGTGTCCAGAGTCTCTCTCTCTTTCTTTCTCTTTTATTCTCCACTTGTTTTCCAGACGATGCCTTCACTGCCCTAACTTTATTCTCTTTCAAAATTAAAAAGTAAAAAAATATTCAAGTTTCCCTCTTTCAGGCCACAGAAATGGTTCTGTACAAAGTCAGTGGAAGCATCAGTCAGTCTGTCTCATTCCATCAGTCTTCGTTCCCAGCATGGATAAGAAAAAAGAACAAATCCCAGTTTTCTAAGCATTTAGTATTGGTCTGAATTACCTACTTTTTACAACATGCAGTTAAGAGGATCATCAATATTTCTGTGCTTTGATGTTGTTCCTTGGAGCACTGTGCCAGCGTGTGCACTGGTACATCACACAACCCACATACGTTCACTCTCTCATTGCTCTCGGCACTTTTTGCACAGAAACAAACCTTCCCATAATTTTCATTTCACTACAGCGTCGAGCTGAGTTTTCTTTCCAGTAGTTAAATTTCCATTTCTTAATGCTGATATCTAAGAAGATTGCTTTAGGATATGATTTAAGTGATTCTATAATATCAGAATAGGCAAGCATATTAATGAAGAGTACATTAGATTCCAGGGTGTGAATCAATATGAAATCATTATTATTGTCTTTTTTTGATGGAAGGGAGGGACTTGACTTATTTAAAAAGCAGTTTTCCTCTCTCCAATAATAATAATAATGATCTCTAACATCAAAGGAGAAAAGGACAACTACCTGATTCGTGTTTAGCTTCGGGGCTGGTAAAAGATTTTATAGGATTCATGACTCAGGGATGCATTAGTGAAATAACTGCTATAATCTAAGTGAAACAAAGGTTGAATCTGAAAAGCAAAGTTGTGGAAAGTTCAGCGAACACTGCAGTGAAGCAGGTCACTGGAAGACGGTGTGGTAGGTGGGGCACTGATGGGACTTCATGTATTTGATGGCGACCTTGAGCTCCTTGCTCTTCTTGTCCCACTTGTGAATGGACGTGAGAAGCAGTTGTTGGTCCACTTTGCGGCCCATGATGAGGAAGTTGGAGCCCAGGCTGTCCAGCTGGGAGCACGGACAGTTGGCACCATTCTTAATGTACAAGGTCAGCTTCTTCAGGTCCTTCTTCCTCAGCACGCCCTGCTTCAGAACTTTCTTCTTCTTTTGTGCTGCAATTAGCTTCCGGTCACCCTTTTCCTTTTTCACCTCCTTGATTTTCATCTTTAGGACTAAAGCAGAAGAGAAGAAGATATTTAAATGGATTTTTATTCAGTAAAACCCTAAAGCTCTTAATGCATCACTCTGATCCCAGTGTTTCACTCTTATTTAAGCAGCTGTGGTATTTTTTTTAACTTCTGGAAGTCTAGTACTGAGCTCTGTACTGTTCTAAAGCAGTAGCTATTTTACACCTCCCCCGAGTATCATCATTTAGACTTTCCTGAGCAGTGTGCAAAAGCTGCATCCTTGTGAATGTCTGACTCGGGAAAAACTCCACAGTCCAACATCTTTTCGGAATTTGGTGTACATATTTTGGCAATATAAATCACAAGTCTTCTCTTTGTTGTTGTTGGGCTATTCCTGAGCAAAAATCATCTTAAATGATTTTGCTTTCAAGTCTCAGACAAAGTCAGATTTATAGTCAGGTTCAGGACATCCATAAGTCTAAAAAACTGCTTGCAGCATAAGATTAATATTGCTACATGGAATCATTATCATCTGTTGTCATTCTGCCCTGCCTGTGTCATTGTTTACACACTTGCAGTGCAGTGTTTTGCGACCAGTGGTGTATTTTTAGGCAAAACATATATAGAACAGAGAACCTCTGTGCACAGTTTTTATTACATGTAGGATCTGGTTACAGCAAACTCAAAGTTTATCAGCCTAATGAAGTACTGACTTGAATCTCCCATTGCACCTTCTGTTTATAAGTTCATATTTTTATATGCGAGAGATTAAAATTGAACTGCCAAACATTCAAAAGAGGAATTCTCTGGGTGAGAATTTTGACAGGTGAAATTAATCACGGGTCGGGCAAAGGTGTGGGGTCGGTATGAAGCATCGCTATGTACCCCGGCCTGCTGGAAGATCGCCATTTCACTTCTCGCCTGCTTGTCTATGGTTGCATAAACATCCCTCGGTACACTCAGATAGGTATACAGTACATGTGAAGTGATAGCGTGTTCAAAAAGGAATGTGTGCATTGAGTTGCCCCTTGTTCACATCCTGTTTCACATCCAGCTCCTTCGCGGCGAGTGTGTTTATGCGCTGTATTTGCCTGCCTACATGCCTGAGCTGCGTGTGTTTTTGTGAAAGACCGCATTCATGTGTATGTACGGCGTGTGTTCAGTGAAGGTACGGAGGATAATTCATCTCCCTCTGCTTCACTTTAAATGCCCACCCGTAATCAGTCATATTTAGTCATAAGTGATGCAGTGGGGCCCTCTGTGCTGCCTGGCCAGCATCTTTGTGACAAGCTGTGCCCACGTCTTTATACAAAGTCGCTCTCTTTAAAGTGAGCAGAGGAGGGCGTAGAGGTAGAAGCAGCTGGAAAGAGAGGGAGTGAGGAGTATGCCGTCGTTTTGAGGAGAAACAGGTTTTCTTCAAGCTGAAGCAAGCAATCTACTCTAACAACAAGGTGTCGGCTAGACAAGACTCTTGTCATTTGTGCAGCAGCTGGATAGTGCAGTAAGAAATGTCATGAGATCGTCCATGAAAAGCAGACCGTAGCAAAAACAGTGTCCAAAGATGAATAGGTAGCAGCATTCATGAGGTATGAGCTCAAGCACTACAGAATAACATTGTAGAGTTGTTCCTTCCTTGATCTCCAAATCCATATGTCACACTTATCTTTTCGACGCATTCCCTTGCGAAAACATCTTTCTGCGGCTATCTGCAATCATGTTTCATATTAATGAACAGAAAGAATCTGTGTTTTCCTTTATGATCCCTGAAGCAACCTCATGTTAAAAGATTGAGTTATATAATCCCGCAATTATTCAGACAAATAAATATCCCTGATTTGGTAACGTCACGATGAAGGAGGACAGGAGACGTGTCTGCATTTTGGTTGCGGCTCAGAGAGTCAAGAAGGTGCGCACGGACGTGTTTTGTTGTTGTTGGATGTGGTTTTATCATTTATTATGGGTCATGCTCTGTATATTCTGGCTCTTTTGTACATGTGGTTATTTTGTAAAACTGTTTTATACTGCAGGCATCGCCTCTGCGGGAAACATGAAATATGCAGAGAAAAAAATGATCCTGGCCACACATGCTTTTGTAATTTCACAACTTTTTGTCACCATTCCTCATTTGGTGCTTAACGTGTTTGGAACAGAGCAAATAGACAGCAGTTTATCATTAACTGTAAACACTGTAAACAATTCAGCTGCTGTGATGAACTCAAATAACAGAATATTTATATAATTATACTCTGGCATCATCTTAAGGTCGTTACTATTGTGAAACACGAAGGCTGGAAAGTGGAAAGTTTGAAATTGGGGCTAAGAAATGAAGTCATTTATCAGCTCATGTGAAGAAAAAGTCGATTCTAGCAGCGAAATTAACGCGAAACGGCTGCAATAAAGATTTAACCGAAGGGAGGATCAGAAGTGAGAAACAGGGATGTGCAGATGAGATTCTCTGTGTGGTTGCACGTGCTTTTTAATTCATAATCAAAGGAAAATAGCGTAAATACCACTTAATCTTCATTTTATGTAACCACTGATAGCTCAAAGTTAAGCTTTCGTTTTAGGTGATTTTGCTATTTTGCTATAAATTTATGTCCATGCCATTTATGTTGATGGGAGTTTTTAAAGACACAGTGCTTTGACTTTTTAGTTTGTTATTACAACTTTTCAACACAATATTAAAAAACAGATTTTATAATTACGTCATGAAACAGACGTGTAAATCCAAATCAACACCGTGGTGAAATGTTTTGCTTGCACTCTTGTACTTGGCTGACTGTTGTACACAAAGCAATTGCACTTTTCTGCTGTGTTGTCAGTCTCTCACAAACTCCAGTTTACCAGACTGCAGATAGGTAAGAAAGTTTCCATAACCCTGCTGTATGCTAGTGACCGTTTGTATCCATAGTCGGGTACTACGTTTTTCAGTTTTTTACTACTTACCAAAGTCACTTGCACAGTAATGCTCCATGATGTTGTCTTTCTTCAGCTCATTGTCACACGGTGGGCACACCTTTGACACTGAAGGGAAAAAAAGAAGGAAGAAGAATTTGTCGTCACCTATATTCAATCTCGTTTCCTTTGGTGCTTTTAAGACCAGATTAGCTCATATCTAACGGCAGCGTTGAGGTCAAGTGCAGTGAGCAAAACCAAAGTAGTGTCAGTATGAAATCGTTAAGCCCTGAGCACTTCTGAGGCACTTATTTGCTGCCCCCCCTCCCCCTTGTCAGAGGCTATTTGCTGCTGAGTGAACGCAGAGTCCAGTAGGCTGACTGATGTTTGCCCTGCAATTACACTGGAGAAAATGTTTTTATTCTGGCCCGTTGTATATTTTGGTGGCGCAGGCGTGGTCTCGGCTGTTCAGAAAGGTAAACGGTGCGGCGGGAGCTGCTGAACATGGTGAAAAGTGATTCAGTACACAGACGCAGCCATCACTTAGGCCACACAGCAACCGCACATTGTGAAAGAGCGAGGGGGAAACCAAAGCAACAAGTTCAGTTTATTTTTAACTCAAAATTTACGGTCATGCATGCTTTACTCAAGAGCGTGTTTGGCCTGTCTAACTTTGATATGAGACTTTGTGATTGTTGTTGTTGTTGTCTTCCCACACAGTTGAGACAGAGCACACGAGGGAAGAAATACAAGCCCTGCATAAAATCCTTTTTATGTATTTTTTGCATGTAAGGCAAATAAGGCCTTGCCATTCAATTAATAGGATTTATAAAACATCAGAGACTTCTCTGACACACACATACACGAACACACACCACCTTGTAATTTTCCCCTCGATATTAAACATTATCAAAACAATTACTGCTTCGATTCCATGTATTTCCAGAGTATTTCCAGCTCTACTCATCTAATATTAGGCCACTCATCCACCAAACAGAGCCGCAAGCCAAGAGAGCAAAAAAAAAAAAAAGTATAATATTAGAAAGGGCCACAGAGAGAAGGATGTGGTATAGAAGCATTGCCCTCACAACATACCTATACACCTAGGGGATAAATTTGACAACATGAAGGGAAAACAGTGCAGAACTTTTGCTGAGTTAGCAGCCTTTTTTTTTCTCGAGATAACTGCTCATAGGAGAGTTTAGTTTTTCTGACATTCCCTCATTGCAAGATCCAAAATATGTTATTCCCCCACCCCCTGAGTTCCCTGTGCTTTCCCTTTCCTTCTGTGTCTCCCACTTTCCAGAAACACACCTATGCAAAATGACACGCCTCTCCTTGCACTGTGCAGGCCCTGGGTTAAAAGTCAGGGTTCAGAGGTTATCACCTCAGCCCAAACCTCAGCGTCTGGCCAGATAATGAGATGGGTCAAAGTTTAACATGCTTCGCTGCTTGGGTCATGGGGAGGTGAACCCCCTAACCACCAGTGAGTGTATGCATGTGTGTGTCTGCCTATATGTGTGTTGGAGGTAGCTGAGCCATGTTCTTGTAGAGCAACTGCCAGTTTTTTCTCCTCTGAGTGTTCCCATGCTTTCATAGGCAGGAGACCTGTGAGGCCTGCAAGGTCAGGCTTCTAATTGTTTGGTGCTGACATGCAGACTGGGACAGAAGCATGGAAAAACACACACACACACACACACACACACAGAACAAGAGACAACAAAACTTCTCTGGATTTGTCCGTCTTGAATGGTCCCCTTGAAGCCGTTCGGTCTTATTCAGACTCGGTGGTAATTCATTCTGGTTTCACAGGGGTGGTATTTTGGCAGAAGGCCCGGTTGCGCTGATGCCAGAGCATGTGTCAGGAGAAAGCAGTCCCTCCATGAAACTTAGTTGAGCTTGGACCGAAAACCAGCGTTTGGATGGCGCTTAGAAATCACTTAAGGGACGACTGCCCTCATCGTCGGTCTCTGTCGAGGGAATCACCGTCATGTTCCGATGGGAATCACTGCTGCGTGGCTTGGTACTTTTTTTCCTGGACACATTTCTGCTCAGTAAATATTTTGACTTTGAGCTCATTAATATATTTTTTGCCATCATCTCAAAGCAGCTGAAGAATTTTTTACCATGCGATTAAATTGTGAAAATCTTGCTCTCACTCTGGTTGACTTTGGACTTGACCACCTCTTGTGTGCTACTTTTGGCATTTACCTACTGCGTTATAAACTTAATTACAGGAATTTTAATGTTCCAATTTATTATGACAAATGTTACTGTCTTACAGAGCTTACAGAACCTGTGGAGGATGAGGAGGTTGGGAGTTGATGATTGAGGATAAGAGGAAAGGGATAATGGGAACGGGGTGAGTAGGGAGGAGATCTTGTGGAAGGCCCTGCTGTTAATCTTTAAACAGCAAGCCAGGGTGGAAATGGTGCACAGCAAGAGGGGGAAACTTCTCCAAAACTTCACTTACTCATAGCTCCGAGGTTAATAACATTTCAGTCTTTCTGCAGTGTCTTTTGTCTATAAAGAAATCTCCAAGAAAAACCTATTAAACTTATGAACGTGAAAACTCATTTGCAAAATAAATTTGGAATACAAAGCAGTGGCACCGTGTACCAATGCAAAGGAATATCTGTTCTCTTTAATGACATAGTCATTCTTATTTTGTTTTACTTAGCTTAGGAAATTGCTTTCTGGAATGAAATTTATTGGGCAACAACACAAATCATCGTGCCTGTTCACAGTGAATTCCTAATAGACACCGCTTGTCATCACATGATATTTAACAATCTAATTAACGTACTTTAAACATGCAGCTGAAATCACAAACACTACAAATCATATTTTATGTTTGTTTCATTTGACTGATTCGCTTGGAATCGTTTTTATAGTCGGGTAAAAATACAAGAGGTTACATGCCGCCGCTGCCTCTTTCTCTTATGCGCACTTTTGAATAAACACAAACACATGTCTTCACACATCTGACGACCACATCTAACAACACCGTCATCTGGTTCTCTGACATTTCTTGTACCTTATTGCTCGTTGCCCGAGCTCCACAGCGACTTTTATAAGAAGAATGTGCGCCGGTCACTATCTCATGCCTTATTTGGGTCTTTTAAGTTATGAGCAGCAGCACTTATGACATAAAATGGTACAATCCCGGAGATGAAATTCAGCGTGATTTACATCGGAGAGCCAAACATCTGTTGAAATTCGGGGCGGAGGAGAACTAAAGCATGACTCGGGGAACCCACGGGGCCCCTAAAACACAGCATGCTCCTTGCATCTGTAGGAAACCTACACAGAAGAGAAAATACATCCTCATAACGCCTCGGCAGCGCTCCATATCCAGACCATTGGATCATATTTTCCTTTTCATATAGTAACCAAGTTCATATGAGCAGTGACTGTTGTGCTGCTGGGGTCCTGACAGTGCTGCCTGTCTCCTTTAATGTGGTTGTAAATCACACTAGTCACATTTCATCACAGATTTCAGCAAGGACAGACCTTTCCTCCCATGCAATTTTACTGGCATGCACATATCTTGAGTGTTCATTTCTGGTGCAAACATGCAAACTAAGTTAAGAAACAAAACCAGAATCCAGTCTGTGATAATCATGCCTACTGATTTACAGATGCTGACAGCAGCTAAAAGTGGCATCATTAAAACAATGAGGTGTAGTTGATGGTGTGGCAATAATTGTTCCCTGTCTGACAGACTGAGCTCGGCTGGCCTTTTCCGCTCCCGGGATGCCTGGGCCCTCTTTTGTCAGCAGTCAGCTTGTCTTCTGTGGTATAATATACAGACTTGTATTTCACATAATCACACCCCTTGGGCTCTTCACACACACACACACACACACACACGCACACACACACACACACACACACACACACACACACACACACA